ACACGATGATTTTCAGACGGGACCACGGGGAGGTCGACCTTTTATTGTATGTTGTTAGTTGGGACTGATAATCTGCATTACTAACAATCCCTTCCCCCCAAGACAATTGTTTGGCGCCAGAAACACGAAAGAGACAGAAGATTTAATAACATCTAAATTTGCAAAATTCTATACGAAACATATTACAGATCACATTTTAAGCATCCATATTATTCGCCACGCTTCAATTTCCTTTAAAAAACGAGATCCCCATAAGCAAACAATATAAGAATGTAGCTATTTCCTCAAACTCCTGGACCGTTTTCGTGATACACTTTCCAGAATGTAATTTGTATTCGGCTGTGGAGAACAAATTGGGGTAACATTCTAACCGACTTAAAAAGATATATATATATATATATATATATATATATATATATATATATATATATATATATGTTATGTAATTGTAATTTGATTTTGAAGATTTTCTTATGGTAATGGTATTAGAATTAATGGTTAACTCCCTCATTGAACACTTTTTTTTATACAACTTAAATGGCAAACAAACTGACGGCCCATCTGATGGAAAGTGGTAACCGTTGCCTACAGACATGAGCAATACCATGAACATAACAGAGTATACTGTTTCGCCCATGATACCCCCCATGCGTTGTCATTCCTGAGGACTCAGGGGTTATTCCTCTGTACCCACTAAGTACTAATTTTGTCAAGATTGGTGTCTATGTATTTGAATTTGTGGTTAGCAAAAGATGATTCTTTCATTAAGGAGTTATTATTAGTATGCATAATAAATTATAAATAAATAAATACAAAATGTTACACGATTTACGAACAGCAATTCTGTATCGATTTTGATATTTTTGGGTCCCATTTCCACATAAATTTTCTGATAACTGAAGTTGTCAGATTCTGCTTGATATGAAGCAATATTGTTTCAATTTCTTTATGGAATAACTCGTTGTTACTTGGTATGTTTTATCATAATTCAATTCAATACGGAACGAAATATAATTTACAAGAAAATTTGACAGATAAATTATAACTGATGCATTATTTATTATTATATAGTACATTACTGCAGCGGCCAGCAACTGAGGTATTGATGGACGAACGTGCAAATGTGGGCCGAGGCGTAGCCGAGGCACACATACGTGAGTCTATTAATGACTAGTTGTGGCCATGGCCTGTATAGTGCTTTTCTCAAACAATGCGTGGAAATCAAAAACGAAATTTTACTTTTTAAGTTCAATGACGAATAACGAACAATAATAATTTTTCACGCGCCATAATGTTCCTTTGTTTTTTTTTTTTTCAATAAACAGCTTTCTAATTGCAAGCCAGTTCGAAATTTAAATAAAACCTTTTATTAGTTACCTCCTTGGTCACATAGCATTGTTTCGAAGTGAAAGATCATTCCATTTTTAAATTACAGGACAAATATGAGTTTACATAGTAATTTATCTAGCCGCAAAACACGACAGATATGGATTTTCCAAGCATATTTGAGAAAATTATAATACACAATTATTTACATGAGTATACATAATTATTCTATGAATCCTCGTTATATCCTGTTTTATCGTACATGTTATACAATAAATAATATATTATTATATTCATATATAATATTAATATTATCTATAAGGACCAGTTAATAGTGTATTATAGATTTAGTTGATGTAGTCATTAACGTTTATATGTTTTGTAGCTGAATAAATGAATTTATTATTATTATTAAATATTCTCGTTAAACGTACGTTAAACTCATTACTAACTCGTTAAAATATTCTATACGAATTTATAAATACAGAACTAATACGTATATTTTTAATTACGATTTGTTTAAATGGATTTCATTTATCATAATCGTAATTAAAAAAAGTAACAAAGAACACTAATTGTAGTTATTATTAGTCGAAACAAATTTATTGTATTTATAATACGATGGATCACTCGAATTTCAATAATTATGTCTAAGCAATTAACAGACGGTAGTGTCCGTAAAAAACTCCAACGAAACTGTTTGAAGTCAACATTTTCTAGCTTTATTAATAAAGTGGAATTCTTTGAAGTAAGTTCTATTAATAAAACGACAGATAAATCGTCGAAAGCCTATATCCGGAATAGGTATTATTTATTATATTTAATATATTTATTTAATATATTTGACACAATCGTTATATATCTTTGAAGATAGACAAACTCAATACAGATTACAAAAATAAAAAAAATATCGGCATATAATAGTACATTACTGCAGCGGCCAGCAACTGAGGCACTGATGGATGAACGTACAAATGTGGGCCGAGGCGTAGCCGAGGCACACATACGTGAGTCACACGTACCGCAGTTAAGCTTTAGAAGTATTTTAAAAGGGACGCTACTGCTCTCGCCCTTCCTTAATCGCCTCTTACGGTACCCCACGAGAATGGAAGGGGTGGCCTATTCTATGCCGGGACTACAAAATTCGGTTACTTTGCATTTATTACGCTATGCTACTCAAACTATTAAATTTTTCCTATTCAATTTAGTTTAGATTCGAATAATGTAGTTTAATAAAAACCTACGTCACGCCTTACGACAAAACTTCAGTTTTCAAACTAGGTATAACACATTTTTTTTATGTATTCGATTTCATTTGTTTCTTTGTATTTGATAACAAGATATTCACATTCAATGATAAACAACTCCGTCCCGAGATCAGAGGGCCTACCATGAAATGTTTTCCGAAATTTCGGAGCCAAACGAAACAGAAATTTGATGTTAAAATTACATAAAAAATGCCGTTTGGAAATATTAAAAATATTAAAATATTGTTCCTTTGGACTTTTATGATAGAATGTATGACGAACGAAATGTTAAACTCCATTTATTGGTCCGATTTTGGTATAAACAAAAACACGAAATTGAGTCCGAAATTTCGGAATTTCATTTCATGGTAGACCCGCAGTACGCTGCATGTAGGCATGATGGAACTGTTTTATGGTATATTTGTGTATGACATGGCGGAGACGGTTGCGGCTTGCGGCAAACGAATTTATTTTGCGAAACGAGATACTTTAATGTGGAATTAAGGGGAAAATAACCGAGAGCTATACGCGAGCGCCGCGCCCAGTGTTGTCTGATGCAATTATATCTCCCCAAATTTCAAACGTATGTCCTCTAAAATACTATAAATAATATGTTGTACACTTTTAAAATATTTTTCAATAATATATATGATGAATAAAAAAAATAATTTTCACTAGTAAGTACTATATTCTATAGATTTACCCGATTACGAATTTCTTAGTCATTTTCACCACGTTATTCCTTATTAATAACCATTGCTACGAGCGACAAAAGCGTCACGATTCACTGATTGGCACTAATATCATCTTATCCAAAATCCTTCGGATCAATTTCTCTCTATTTTTTACAACTCTACTATTTTCTCCAAAAGACGACTTTTTTCCAAAAACTGTGAAAAAAAGTACAATTTCTGGCAACACTGGGTATACCGCGTTGCGCCTCGCGCTTTTGGTGAGCTGTTTCGGCTTAATTGATTAAGCCGGTAGATATCGTACGAGGAAAATGTATTTTTGAATGAATCCCCAAATATTACTGTACAAAATTGACATTTCTAAATCACTCTCCCTTCACACAATTCGCGGTACGTTATCTAACGTAGGTAGTTGTGTGAAATATAATGATAAAATAAATATAGAAAATCAATACGCTTTATTTCTACTTTTCCAAACATAACTGATGTTGATATTTGTGATAAATGGACCCTTTATATATATATATATATATGAAGTATATACCAGGGGTATATCCCTGGGTACATCCCTGGTATATACCATATATATATATATATATATATATATATATATATATATATATATATATATATATATATATATATATAATTTCGAGAACGATCGCCGTCGACATATGCGGATTGATTCGGACCTCGAAAATAAATTGAAGTATATATATAAATGAAAATACCCATCAATCGTCTTCTTCTTCTTCCTATCCTTATCCCAATTATAATTTGGGGTCGGCATATAGTTTTTATCCATATTACAAGTCGGCGTAATATAGTTTTTATCCATATTACAAAAAGATTCGGCTTGGTTTTACAACCGGCCGCCTACCTGACATCAACCCTCATTGGGAATGCATTTGTCGATAGTTACCGCCACCTACATTATGGAGGAAAGGATTGAGGAAAAAAGGAAGGGAACTTTGGAAATGCGTAAGGAAATTGGTAAATAAGAGGAATAAGGGACTTATGTGGGAAAAGAAAGAGGGGGACACTGCTGTTGTGGAAGGTAAAAAACCCGTCAATAATATATATGAAAAAAAAGAAGTAAAAGAGATTCTATGAAAACAACAAAACGCTTTTTTTATACAACTTAGAATGGCAAACAAGCTGACGGTCCACCTGATGGAAAGTGGTAACCGTCGCCTATAGACATGAGCAGTACCGTGGACATAAAATTATGTTAAATTAATATATAAATAGTATTTGTAATTCTATACCCAGATCATGATATAATATTAATATTAATTTAAATATTCAGACACACCTAATTATCATTATTATCAAAACTGCAAAATAAAATGTAAGTCAACTTTACTGAATTAACAAGTATTTTTTTTTATTTTTTATTTTTTTTTTTTTATACAACTTAGAATGGCAAACAAGCTGACGGCCCACCTGATGGAAAGTGGTAACCGTCGCCTATAGACATGAGCAGTACCATGGACATAACAGATTATACTGTTTCGCCCATGATACCCCCCATGCGCTGCCATTCCTGAGGACTCAGGTGTTATTCCTCTGTACCCAGTAAATTCACGCCATATCCCACTCTTCAAACCGAAACACAGCCATGCAAACACAACTGCTTCACGGTTGAAACACGAATGGGACAGAGGTACCCAAGCAATCGACTTTTGTACAAAGTCTCCCTCTGGTATTATAATAACTTGAATAATTAACTTACCTAGTGCTGCCAAGCCAGCCAGGATCATGTAGAATTTCATGTTAACAGTTCCTGCTATGCACACATGTAACCACTGTATGGGAATATTGCACTATGTAAGCACTATACTTATTACCAGCAACATTAATTGTTCTTTTTTCTTTTTGTTGTTTTAATTTTTTTATTTTCTTAATAATGGTAATAAAGGTCATCTATCTGTCTATCTACCTATCTATATAAATACTATGTAAACTCTGTACCTTAAATTATATAAATAGAGTGTCTCCATACTTCGAGAAAAACAGATCATGAGTGATTCCTTTATAACTTGTATATTTATTTTGTCTTATAATTTGTGCACCTTTTGAATGCACAAAAACTCATTTTATTTATTAAATAATTAAATATTGATACGTCAAGGTACATTGTATGCGTCAGTATATAGAACACTAATCAAAAAATGAGTCGGCAATTTTGACAATTCTGACAAAAAGATGACCCGTTTTTGAGGGGGAAAAGGGATTATTAGCAATGGAGTTCGACAGCCCCATTGTTAGCAATATGCCTCATTAGGTCGACCTTCACGTGATCACCCCTTGGAAACCATCGTGAACAATTCTTGTTGAATTCGTCACGATGGGCTATCTGACCTACTTCATGCTCACCTATCATCCTTCACTGGTGCCCCGCCGGTGTATACCGATAGCGCGGGTGGGGTTACCATTCCATTATCATCCATTAAAAAAGAAGATTTTTGAGGCTCGACACTCTATCTATATAATATAATCTCTATACATATGCGATCACTAACAGAGAAGATTTAGAAGAAAAGAAAATATGAGATTAATTTTGTTATATTTCCTTTACAACTGATTATGACTGAGTACTTGAACTTTATCCACGCCCGCGTGTATAAGTTAATTTGTGCCTACTACTCTTGACAGGGGGAGAAGGGGTTGTTAGTAATGGGGATTAGTAGCCCCACTGCTAGCTATACGTCTATAGCTATCAGGTCGACCTCCTCACAGTTGCACTAGAAACCATCGTGACCAATTCCAAGTGAATTCATCACGATGGGCTAACTAACCTGCCTTTTCATCCTCACCTTAATGATGCCCCGCCAACGTATACCATTAGCGCAGGGGGGGTTACCAATATATTATCATCTATTAAAAAAAAAACCTATTCTTGACATGCTCACATGTCTTGTGGACATATCGAGTATTGAGAGGACTAATGCCCTCTAACTACCCCATTTGCTCAACGGTGTCATGAGCCAGTATCCGGACTTGAATATATTGACTTGTAAACTTGTCGGGTTTCGCAGAATGGCAAAAATGTTTTTTTATACAACTTAGAATGGCAAACAAGCTGACGGCCCACCTGATGGAAAATGGTAACCGTCGCCTATAGACATGAGCAGTACAATGGACATAACAGAGTATACTGTTTCGCCCATGATACCCCCCATGCGTTGCCATTCCTGAGGACTCAGGTGTTATTCCTCTGTACCCAGTAAATTCACGCCATATCCCACCCTTCAAACCGAAACACAGCCATGCAAACACAACTGCTTCACGGTTGAAACACGAATGGGACAGAGGTACCTAAGAGGTCGTCCTCCATGGCGCAGCGGTCAACACGCCTGCCTGCGACGTGGAGGCCCCGGGTTCGATCCCCGGCCAGGTCATGATGGAAAACGATTTTTTCCTGATTGGCCTGGGTCTTGGATGTTTATCTATATATGTATCTATTATAAATATAGTATCGTTGAGTTAGTATCCCATAACACAAGTCTCGAACTTACTTTGGGGCTAGCTCAATCTGTGTGACTTTGTCCGTATATATTTATTATTATTATTATTAAGCAATTGACTTTTGTACAAAGTCTCCCTCTGGTAATAAGAATGTGTCCAATAATTAATTGTATATATTGTGATTGCTAAGGGAGCAGAGAATTGGAAAACTGTCAAACTTCCTTAGTTGGTAAATATAAGTTAATTTGTGGACAGAGAGAAGAGATTTTTAGTAATTGGATCTAACAACCCATTTCTAACAATATATCTTATCAGATCGACCTCCTCGCGGTTCCCCCTGAAAATTATAGTGTTTAATTCTTGAATTCGACCCAATGGGCTAACTGACTTGCGTTTATCGTCACCTATCATTTCATACTGGTGCCCCGCCAATATATACCGATAGCGCAGGCGAAGTTACCATTTTTCGCCTTCGTAAAATTTTTACAAATGAATCAAATTATTTCAAATATAGACAGTTTTAATTCGGATAGAACGACAAAAACGCGTAAAAGAACGAATGAAGGTAATTATTTTAATTGGACAGGCAATGACATTTTACCAACCAGCGACTAAGTAGGCATGCAATTTTTATGCAATTATTTGGAATAACTTCGTTACTAAATACGGACATAAGAATCATTAGATTCATCATCATCAGCCTTTAACTGGCATAAGCCTCCCACTTGGGGCGTTTTACCAGTAGTTGCCACGCTTGGCAGGCGGATTGGCAACCGCAGTCAGGCTTTAGAGGTGTTTTAAGAGAGACACTGCTGCCCATCCTATAGTTGCCTCTTACGACACCAACGGGAAAACCCGTGGGTGTCGTAAGAGTCTGTCTTTCTTTTGAAAGGGTGGCTTATTCTATGCCGGGACCACACGGCCAACTCTAATTATTAGATTATTAAAGAATAACTGTTTTGTTATGATTTTTTTTTTTTTTACTTTTCACGCTATTAAATCGGATCCTTTTCTATCTGTTCTCCTTTAACTAAAGGTTGTCTGTAAGAGATTGCCCTAGCGATAACACCGCCTTTTGTACCTTTATGTGTATATTTCAATCTGTATTTATGTTACTGTATTTCATTTGAATTCTTCACTTGTCATTGTATATTTTTATTTATGGTGCAATAAAGAGTTAAATAAATAAATATTTGTAAGTAATATTACACGTATATTAATACCAATATCTGCGCAGCGTATTAAGGATTAAATTAAACAAAAAACTTTGTCGGAGCCAGCCCCTACTGCAATATCTCGCATGCACGGGTGCTGCACGCGCTAGATTATCCAATCGATAAAGCAATGCACTTTTACTTAGTTCATAAACCTAACAGATGGCCCACTATAGGACACGATCAAGGAAATAAGGATTCTAACCTATCAAATCTATGATATGGTAAGCTTCTATGATATGAACAGCAGCGTAATCACCAAAGAGTATACTGTGACGCCCATAACTCACTCCATATGTTCTCCTTTCTGTTTCGTTTCCCAAAAACTAAGTTATTACATTATGGGGACTTTTGGGTCGGGTACATATCATAAATATTGCTTTGGCTGATGATTAATTTAATTAATTTTTGGTTAGAACATTATTGTAATTCAAATGTATGTAAGCATGTAATAACATCTATGTTGAAATATTAAATCTGTACTTTGTAATATCTCTTCTCTAATATTAATTTTCATGTACACAACAATATATTAAAATCGTAAAGTAACAAAGATCTAAATATCTTTTCAAATATTCCCATTCATATTTTCAGATTAGATGGATTTATGCGTCCCAGTGACCTAATAAGGAATTTATACCATATTCGTCTTAATAAGCGGGGAAATGTATCATATTGCATTATTATTATTATTATTTTAAAGAAAACTACGCCTCATTCAAAATTGAAGATGCTACATCAAGATCGTGTAGCGCATTTATGACAGCAGCCATTTTAGATACCAGCAGTATGAACTTCTCTACGTTAACTTTATTACATGTCATTCCTCTAAAGCAGGGGTTTCCAAACTTATTTTGTCTACTGCCTACTTTGAGAATAATTTATGTTTTAGCGCCCCCATTTTTTTTTTACCTTATTAAAAACCTCTATTACTTCAAGATCAACAAAGCACCCCCCCCCCAAGCCTCTACACAATGCTCACATTTTTTTCTGGGCCTTTTTCCGCCCCCCTTTAGACCTGCAATACCCACAAGAGGGCGTTATCGCACATTTTGGGAAAGGCTGCTCTAAAGATATGTATTGTATATAGTAATCAATTATAAACCTGTGTCTCTACAATAAAGTTAAATAGTTAAGTTTTAACTAGTTACAATTTAAAAATAAACGAAAAATCTTAATTGAGGGTAGTTAATGACAAGGAAATTATAGGGTAAGTAGATATAACAAATTAGTCTTCAAGAGTGGCAGCGCATGAAGAGTATCATGAGCGACACAATATACTCTGTTATGTCCATGGTACTGCTCATGACTATAGGTAACGTTTACCACTTTCCATCAGGTGGGTTATCAACTTATTTGGCATTCTAAGTAGCATAAAAAAGAATAATTTTAATCAAATTAAAATGCAGATACATAGCGGTGCGGCGGTACCGGCCCGGCCAGCGGCTCGTGCATATAAGTACCGCACCATATCTGTGACTGCGCCGAAGGCCGCGCTTCGCCCTATAGCACTTTATCATGTTTGTTTTGTGTAATGACAAAAAAATTGTAAACGTTGTTTATAAGGACATTCTGTAGTAGGTAGGTATATTTAGTATCACTATTGCACCCGTACGAAGCCGGGGCGGGTCGCTAGTATATAATAATCCCGTTCCAAGATCGTTCGCGTTAATCTTCAAAATCACTACTAATTTTAATGATATTTTGCAAGTAAATGTGTATTGTTTGCTCTAGATTGAGAGATATTATAATTTTTATTCCTATAAGAAAAATATAGCCAGTAGATGTCGTTACTAAATATAAGTAGTTTGTCGTTTTAGCCAATATAACTATACGTTACAGGGAATATAAAATATAAGGTTACATAGATACTCTAGAGTTAGTGCCGGCTAGAACAAAGTAATTACTGGAACGATGATAGATTTAGCGGTATTATTCGACGTTAGTCGTAATCGCTATTAATTAAACACCAAAGGAAAACTAGCGCTCGCGTCACAGTCGCTCCCGATCAAGGGTCCCGAATTGGTTCCGAAACTAATCGATTTATCTCGATCTAATTACATGTAAGTCAACCGGTAGTTATTACATTGAAACCAATGGGAACCTCTATCCCATTTCTATGTCTACCACCAACTAGCTATGCTTGTACAGCTGTGTGTTTGATTTGAGGAGGCACTTCAGCCCTTAGGAATAAGAACACATGGCAGATAACATGCGCGTCATACTGCATACTATCGGTTATCAGTTAAAAGAATAGTTTC